GCAAGTACTTCATGTGAACACGAAATGAAATTAATATATGCGATGACGACATTAAACTGCACACAAAAATACTTACTTTTCTACGGATCAGAATAGGTTTACCAGGAGAGTCCGAATCGGAAAGTGAAGTCTGCATCAAAACGTCTACCTTATATACTAAGACAGACGGTTATATGCACCGGTCCACTTACGGTCATAAATTGTAAATGTGTTTGCACTATGACGGGTTGTCAACGTATTATACAACGATGGCCAGTCTATGTTAGCTGTGTGATAGTGTTGTTATTTATTGACAAGGACTCATTGATTGACGGCAACAATGGACAGTAAATTATGTCATTCCTTACAGAGGTTGATTCAAGAAATGTGAGGAATTCATCAGCTCATTACACATATAGGGTGAATACATGTCAAATTGTGGAGAGAGAGAGAGAGAGATAAAGAGAGAGAGAGGGATAGAGAGAGTAATTCATGTAGCAGAGAGAGATAAAAAGAGAGAGAGGGAGAGAGAGAGAGAGAGAGAGAGAGAGAGAGAGAGAGAGAGAGAGAGAGAGAGAGAGAGAGTAATTCATGTTATTTGAAATACAATTTACATTGTTTGATGTACGTAAATTGTAAGATTTCTAATTGTACGTGTATCACAGGAAGACATTCGCTTATTATATACAACAAGATGGGTAAATTTTAACGAATATATGTTGCCCTAATGCATTCCAAATCATAGCAAAGAGAACCTTATCTTCGGTAGTGTAACAACAACATAGTTCACGTACTCGCAGTTGTCTTGGCTGCAGTTAGATCCTCTTGTTTTTATTTTTAATTGGTGTGAACTACATTTAAAACGAGCCTGAGCTACTTTAAATTTGGAAACTGTTATAACCTCAGCATACAATTCCGAGCAAACGGATTGTTTACAAAAGGTATAACTATTGGTTTCAATACCCGGAAGGAGCCCATCACCCTATAATTTACCGTATATAACCTTCACACGAAATAAATATACAAGATAATTAATTATATGTGAAAAGTATTATGCTTAAATTGTTTTTCCCATACATAGTCAAATCAGGCAGAAAAAGAATTTTTTTGCTAACTTTTGAAGCCCAATTAATCACATTTCCCATTTTCTGATGTATGAAACATCATATTATAACACCTATTCACATATCTACTTTCAGGCACTCGCAAAATACTGCAGCGATACTTTGAAACACGTTTTCTATGGATAAAATTATAGTTCGATATCGGTCGCATTCTCCTGCGCTAAATGTGCTATTTGAAAACTCACGTTGCGCGTTTGGTTCCAAATTAAATTTAACACGGTTAAATCTACAGTTAACTAAGCTGAACATTGAAAACACAGTTTGTTCATCTTCTAATTTCAAGGCGTTTTAAATAGATTGCAAAGCATGTTATATCCTTGCAAAAAAAACCCACTATAATTCTTTAAAACACACCATCATTTGAGGCTTTTGAAAAATCAACATATGCAGCATAAACCTTACCCTCTTCTTAGACAAATGCCGTTGGGTAATTACTTGCAAAATAAATATATTATCAACAGCATATGCATTTGACCAGAACACCAGTCTTGTTGAGCACAGACGTATATAATGTACTGAATACACTTAGCTGCTATTTGACTCCATAATTATTTGGATTTTGTTTATCCCCACTCTTATGAATGATAACTCCTGAGTTCTAAGAGATTTAAAAATGTGCTTTCTCAGATAAATTGTTACACATAAGTTAGTATATGGTACTATTAGATCAGATGAGAACTTGTAGAACTTAGCAATGGAGATGTTTAATTCGTTTTTACTCTACAATATTTCCCTTTCTGCTTAACTGCCAATCTTACCTGTCTAAAGGGGACTGGTCACACATATCCCCATTATCACATTGAGTTTCAGTTAACAGGACAGTTGGCAATGAAAGCGGTCGTAAAGTGGTTATACCCATTGGTAACAGAAATGGGTTGGGTAACACTGTATTGGAGTGGGAATAGTTTAAGTGACAACCCATTTAGGTCATTCAATGTTATCAGCTTTACTCAATATGTGCATCATACACTGTCCAGATATTATTCTTATTTCTTGGGTCATAATGAAAATACATACCAAGAGTCAAACTGTATGTTTAGTGTTTTTTTCTAAATTTGTATTATGTATACACAAAAACAGAAAGGTGTCCGTGTACATTCTGCATAAAACTCATACAAAAATGAATGTCGAAATGTTACGAAGTGTATTAATGTACCAGTTACTTATTACCGTTACAGATACACTGTTTTGGTTGAGTGAGTGAGTTATTTGGGTTTAACGCCGCTTTTAACAGTATTCCAGTTATATCACGGCGTGTCAGCTTCATGTATGAGGAAAGCCCCAAGTGATGCAGGTCTCAGACGTTTACCACTTCGGTGAAACCCACGAGCACGGGTATGGTGCTGACAAACCTAAAATATAATGGGGGCGAACCGGGATTCGAACCCACAATCATAGGTTTCTGGCGTGCAAAAGGGCGCAACTCTAGATAGCGAATCGCAAAAACAAGCATTTTTTACGACTAATACATTGTTGGAAGAAAATCAGGTAGCAATGCCAACACGTTTTGAATTGTCAATGAATCTGTGTACATGTGTGTGTGTGTGTGTGTGTGTGTTTGTGTATACACTCTTCAAAAAAAAGAAACGCACAGGTAGATTTTTAGTACTTGCATTGTACCTAATAAAGTCGATATATTTAATTTAATATTCTCATAGATGCAAATATGAAATTTTGGAGCTCGATAGTCACATGTTGTCGTTGTACAAAGGCATTGAAAACTGTTCATTGTCATGTCACATAAGGGCACAAGGTTGCGCTGAACTCAGTATCTCATTCTCGTAGTCAGCTTCAATGAACTACATATTACCTGTGCGTTTCTTCTTTTTTGAAGAGTGTTTGTACATATGAATTACGACTGTCGTTATTTCGAAATAAGTAGACTAGTGCAAAACATGGAGGTATACGTAGGTGTATAAATCTACAATTTCTAGTGCGGGTAAATACTTAAAATTAAAGCGACTAAAACTTCACCATAATCATAAGACATATCTGCTGAACGCAAAGCTTATTTTACGGTTTTGACCCTTTAATAATCATGTGTTTATGAGAATCTATTAATTAGTGATGATGCCAGGGGATGGCGAAAAGGTGAAAGTATCCTGCCATTATTGATCTTTATTGAACGATATCAGATCATCGATATACCTGCAGCTTAGATTATACCACTTGACCAATTGCCCTTGTTAAGATTCTGACAATGCAGTTCATATGCATAAAGAAACAAATCAGCTGAGAGGGGAGCATAATTAGTGCCCATGGGGATGAATATATGTACATCATTCCTGCATATCCTATTTCTAAAGCTCCCAAAGATTTTTATCTTTGAGGAAAACCAGGATTTCACACATTGTTTTATCAGTTAACTTCAGGTGACATTTCTCACAAATTGCCCTGAACCTTTGATAATAGAGTTGTAACTATACATATTGTCATCACATTTAGTGACAAATTCGCCATGGGTGAAAAAATGAAATTTCCCCTTAAGTTTGCTTAAATTATTAATGTAATTAATAATAATTTTCCGAGATTTCAACACATTCAAGCAAATATTTTAAGTTTTTGAGAATGAACGGTGTCTTAATTCCACTTGTCACAAATACTTTCTGTGAATATAAAGGCAATGCTTCCTTAGTTGTATTAAGAACTATGGTTAATCTTTGAGACATGGATTCGGTGAGTACATTTGCTGGATCCAGTAATATATATCTCTGTATACAGATATTTTTGAGCTTTGGAATCCAGTACGAAAGAGAAATTGACAAGTCTGCAGGCCAAAAGTTGATCCCATATATCGGACCGGGTGGAACAATTTTACCTGTCCCGTGCTTTGACATGTCAGCATCACAACTGATTCAATTTTGTTTGTTTGTAACAGCGCACTCAGAAATATTGCAGCTATATGACTTCTCCAAGATAAAGATGGTTGATGATTATCGTGTATTTTAATCTGTATAGCAAGACGGGTTTCTTTCAATGTAGATCATTCAACGGCTACAACTTTTAAGCCCATTTTGCAGTTTGACGCCACATATATGTGCTCTATAGTGTCAGTTTATTTTGCTGTCCCAAACCATTCATCTCCCCCCACAACTACACCTATATTTCATATAACACTGCAAAAAGTGCAATCAGCATTCGTGTATTTTCATTTTGATTACATTGACTGATTCCCTTTATACGGCCATTCTCTCAGTAGATCAGTCAGCAGACGATATAATACACCTAGCATTTCCTATTGTATGACACTTTTATGTAGTTTATGATACATCTTAGCAGTTTTTATTCAACGACTAAACCGACATCACAAGGCATGCTTTCTTGTTTCCGTTTATCAAACTTATGAAAGTGTGAATGAATCAACTAATCAAACGTACAAGTCTTACAGAAAGAGTTTGCGAACAAGAATCAAATTACATGCAAGAGGAATAAATATAAACACAGGGATTAAAATGAAAGTTAAGCAACTTCTTTAATATAATTACATTATGTTATATATTCAATCATGATCTCTTACTCCAATTTTCTTTCTGAATTGTCTGCACCACCTCCGTGCTCGTGGGTTTCACCAAAGTGAAAAAATGAAGTGACAAAACTCTTTCCATACCCAATAGAAATCTCTGCATAAAGCGGAGTCGACAGTACGATGCAAACTATATCATAAGGATATGTTTATGAATCACTATCAAATAGTAATGATACCAGGTGTTCGCGAAAAGGTGAGCGTTTCCTGCCCCACTGGTGGCACCCGTCACAAACACATGCAAAGGCAAGTCAGTTGTTAAGTCCGATATATATCTATATCTCCGAGTGAAATCATCATGATAGACATGTGTTACCGTGTAGTGTACTGGTCATGTATGGATTGGAAATCATTGAACATACAAGACATAAATATACTGTAAGGATATTTATTAACAGTTATACATATAAGCGATAACATCCCAAACATCTTTGTTTAGGATGCAAAACATGTCAACTTTGAAGACACAACTGCTTGAAGCAATACTGACAGTATCTGACACCAACACTATCAATGCAAAACTGGCTGAACCAGAATGGATAGCCCTGATTTTGTTTCATCCCGAACTAAGACACTGTTTCTGTTCATTTAGAGTATCATGTAGGTGGGGTCATATACAGCAGGTCCTGCCGGAGCAACATCAGTTGCGGCAAAAGTCGTGGGAGCAGCAGCAGAGGGGGCAGCAGCAGCATTAGCGTCGAGATCAACATACACTGGACCTGCAGGAGACAAAATACAAAAAACTGACTTTGACACGATACCTAATGCATTTTGTACAAACACATCAACACTGTAGTCATGTTTCTGATCTACTGCTGGTTTCTTTTGTATCAATTGCGTAAGCATCGAGATAAAATAAAATAAACTGACTATTAAGCCATGTTTCTTATTTACTGTATGTTCATTTCTGTAAATTTATAAAGGGATCGAGATCGTACCAGAACCAGAATCTGTAGAATAGAAAATAAATAAATAAATAGGGGATGTATTTCTTGATAATAAACCTTGAAACACATCAGCAAGGTTGTCCGTGTTCTCATTTACTGTTAGCGGTTCTATCACAATGTAATAATGCACTTACCATTACCATTGGATTGAATGGCACCAGCGCCCTGTAACCCTGGATGGACTAATCCTTGGTTGGGGAGCCCTGAGCCGAGACCAAGAGGGGAAACACCAAGTCCGTAAGGGGAAACACCAAGTCCGTAAGGGGAAATTCCATATCCGAGAGGAGGAATCCCAAGACCGAAGGGGTGCATCCCAAGACCAAAGCCGGGAATTCTAAGGCCGAAGTGGGGAAACCCTAGGCCGAAATGAGGATTGCCGATGCCACCGAAAGGAGGGAAACCAATTCCAAAACCGTGCGTTCTTGTTATGGCAACAAGGCAGACAATGATGACAGCAAGTACCTTCATGGTTTATTTGAATCTGGGAAGTAAGAGAAAATGTACATGTGTTAATTGAAACCGTGAAATACTTAATGACGTCATTTCTATTTTGACGATGATTTACAAATTGTAATGCAAATAAAGGACATACTGTAAACAATTTTAGCTTTCTTCACTGAGAACTAAAACTATATTAACAAAGGCCACTTTATATTCAACTCCATCCTTAATTTTAAACGCATATTTACATGTTATCAAACACGTTTGTATATTCACAAACACACTGACTTTGACAACTCAAAACGCTGAAATATCGCCTTTGTCCGAATAAAATAACAATCACCCAGAAACGTCCCAATCGCTATAATATTTATTTTTATCTTCTTGTAATTTGAATCGAATGTAAAGTAGATTATGAAGCAACCAGTGATCTGAATTATTGTTCTTTTAGGATTGGCTTGGAATAACATGATAATGCTAACATTCCCATCACTGCATATTAAGATGTTTAAGAAAATGCAATAATATGTATTCCGTCATGAACAGAGCGGGTAGAATTATGTAAATAATTATATTCGTGCACATGGATAATCCGTGAGAAGGATCCGGTTCCATATACCACGCAAGTACTTCATGTGAACACGAAATGAAATTAATATATGCGATGACGACATTAAACTGCACACAAAAATACTTACTTTTCTACGGATCAGAATAGGTTTACCAGGAGAGTGTGAATCGGAAAGTGAAGTCTGCATCAAAACGTCTACCTTATATACTAAGACAGACGGTTATATGCACCGGTCCACTTACGGTCATGAATTGTAAATGTGTCTGCACTATGACGGGGTTGTCAACGTATTATACAACGATGGCCAGTCTATGTTAGCTGTGTGATAGTATTTATTGACAAGGACTCATTGATTGACGGCAACAATGGACAGTAAATTATGACATTCCTTACAGACGTTGATTCAAGAAATGTGAGGAATTCATCAGCTCATTACACATATAGGGTGAATACATGTCAAATTGTGGAGAGAGAGAGAGAGATAAAGAGAGAGAGAGGGATAGAGAGAGAGTAATTCATGTAGCAGAGAGAGATAAAAAGAGAGAGAGAGGGAGAGAGAGAGAGAGAGAGTAATTCATGTTATTTTAAATACAATTTACATAGTTTGATGTACGTAAATTGTAAGATTTCTAATTGTACGTGTATCACAGGAAGACATTCGCTTATTATATACAACAAGATGGGTAAATTGTAACGAATATATGTTGCCCTAATGCATTCCAAATCATAGCAAAGAGAACCTTATCTTCGGTAGTGTAACAACAACATATAGTTCACGTACTCGCAGTTGTCTTGGCTGCAGTTAGATCCTCTTGTTTTTATTTTTAATTGGTGTGAACTACATTTAAAACGAGCCTGAGCTACTTTAAATTTGGAAACTGTTATAACCTCAACATACAATTCCGAGCAAACGGATTGTTTACAAAAGGTATAACTATTGGTATCAATACCCGGAAGGAGCCCATCACCCTACAATTAACCGTATATAACCTTCACACGAAATAAATATACAAGATAATTAATTATATGTGAAAAGTATTATGCTTAAATTGTTGTTCCCATACATAGTCAAATCAGGCAGAAAAAGAATTTTTTTGCTAACTTTTGAAGCCCAATTAATCACATTTCCCATTTTCTGATGTATGAAACATCATATTATAACACCTATTCACATATCTACTTTCAGGCACTCGCAAAATACTGCAGCGATACTTTGAAACACGTTTTCTATGGATAAAATTATAGTTCGATATCGGTCGCATTCTCCTGCGCTAAATGTGCTATTTGAAAACTCACGTTGCGCGTTTGGTTCCAAATTAAATTTAACACGGTTAAATCTACAGTTAACTAAGCTGAACATTGAAAACACAGTTTGTTCATCTTCTAATTTCAAGGCGTTTTAAATAGATTGCAAAGCATGTAATATCCTTGCAAATGATTTGAGGCTTTTGAAAAATCAACATATGCAGCATAAACCTTACCCTCTTCTTAGACAAATGCCGTTGGATAATTACTTGCAAAATAAATATATTATCAACAGCATATGCATTTGACCAGAACACCAGTCTTGTTGAGCACAGACGTATATAAAGTACTGAATACACTTAGCTGCTATTTGACTCCATACTTATTTGGATTTTGTTTATCCCCACTCTTATGAATGATAACTCCTAAGTTCTAAGAGATTTAAAAATGTGCTTTCTCAGATAAATTGTTACACATAAGTTAGTATATGGTTCTATTAGATCAGATGAGAACTTGTAGAACTTAGCAATGGAGATGTTTAATTCGTTTTTACTCTACAATATTTCCCTTTCTGCTTAACTGCCAATCTTACCTGTCTAAAGGGGACTGGTCACACATATCCCCATTATCACATTGAGTTTCAATTAACAGGACAGTTGGCAATGAAAGCGGTCGTAAAGTGGTTATACCCATTGGTAACAGAAATGGGTTGGGTAACACTGTATTGGAGTGGGAATAGTTTAAGTGACAACCCATTTAGGTCATTCAATGTTATCAGCTTTACTCAATATGTGCATCATACACTATCCAGATATTATTCTTATTTCTTGGGTCATAATGAAAATACATACCAAGAGTCAAACTGTATGTTTAGTGTTTTTTTCTAAATTTGTATTATGTATACACAAAAACAGAAAGGTGTCCGTGTACATTCTGCATAAAACTCATACAAAAATGAATGTCGAAATGTTACGAAGTGTATTAATGTACCAGTTACTTATTACCATTACAGATACACTGTTTTGGTTGAGTGAGTGAGTTATTTGGGTTTAACGCCGCTTTTAACAGTATTCCAGTTATATGACGGCGTGTCAGCTTCATGTATGAGGAGAGCCCCAAGTGATGCAGGTCTCAGACGTTTACCACTTCGGTGAAACCCACGAGCACGGGTATGGTGCTGACAAACCTAGAAATATAATGGGGGCGAACCGGGATTCGAACCCACAATCATAGGTTTCTGGCGTGCAAAAGGGCGCAACTCTAGATAGCGAATCGCATAAACAAGCATTTTTTACGACTAATACATTGTTGGAAGAAAATCAGGTAGCAATGCCAACACGTTTTGAATTGTCAATGAATCTGTGTACATGTGTGTGTGTGTGTGTGTGTGTGTGTGTGTGTGTGTGTGTGTGTGTGTGTGTGTGTGTGTGTGTGTGTGTGTGTGTGTGTGTGTGTGTATGTGTGTGTGTGTGTGTGTGTGTTTGTGTATACACTCTTCAAAAAAAATAAACGCACAGTATCTCGTTCTCGTAGTCAGCTTCAATGAACTACATACTACCTGTGCGTTTCTTCTTTTTTGAAGAGTGTTTGTACATATGAATTATGACTGTCGTTATTTCGAAATAAGTAGACTAGAGCAAAACTTGGAGGTATACGTAGGTGTATAAATCTACAATTTCTAGTGCGGGTAAATACTTTAAATTAAAGCGACTAAAACTTCACCATAATCATAAGACATATCTGCTGAACGCAAAGCTTATTTTACGGTTTTGACCCTTTAATAATCATGTGTTTATGAGAAACTATTAATTAGTGATGATGCCAGGGGATGGCGAAAAGGTGAAAGTATCCTGCCATTATTGATCTTTATTGAACGATATCAGATCATCGATATACCTGCAGCTTAGATTATACCTCTTGACCAAATGCCCTTGTTAAGATTCTGACAATGCAGTTCATATGCATAAAGAAACAAATCAGCTGAGAGGGGAGCATAATTAGTGCCCATGGGGATGAATATATGTACATCATTCCTGCATATCCTATTTCTAAAGCTCCCAAAGATTTTTTATCTTTGAGGAAAAACAGGATTTCACACATTGTTTTATCAGTTAACTTCAGGTGACATTTCTCACAAATTGCCCTAAACCTTGGATAATAGAGTTGTAACTATACATATTGTCATCACATTTAGTGACAAATTCGCCATGGGTGAAAAAATGAAATTTCCCCTTAAGTTTGCTTAAATTATTAATGTAATTAATAATAATTTTCCGAGATTTCAACACATTCAAGGAAATATTTTAAGTTTTTGAGAATGAACGGTGTCTTAATTCCACTTGTCACAAATACTTTCTGTGAATATAAAGGCAATGCTTCCTTGGTTGTATTAAGAACTATGGTTAATCTTTGAGACATGGATTCGGTGAGTACATTTGCTAGATCCAGTAATATATATCTCTGTATACAGATATTTTTGAGCTTTGGAATCCAGTACGAAAGAGAAATTGACAAGTCTGCAGGCCAAAAGTTGATCCCATATATCGGACCGGGTGGAACAATTTTACCTGTCCCGTGCTTTGACATGTCAGCATCACAACTGATTCAATTTTGTTTGTTTGTAACAGCGCACTCAGAAATATTGCAGCTATATGACTTCTCCAAGATAAAGATGGTTGATGATTATCGTGTATTTTAATCTGTATAGCAAGACGGGTTTCTTTCAATGTAGATCATTCAACGGCTACAACTTTTAAGCCCATTTTGCAGTTTGACGCCACATATATGTGCTCTATAGTGTCAGTTTATTTTGCTGTCCCAAACCATTCATCTCCCCCCACAACTACACCTATATTTCATATAACACTGCAAAAAGTGCAATCAGCATTCGTGTATTTTCATTTTGATTACATTGACTGATTCCCTTTATACGGCCATTCTCTCAGTAGATCAGTCAGCAGACGATATAATACACCTAGCATTTCCTATTGTATGACACTTTTATGTAGTTTATGATACATCTTAGCAGTTTTTATTCAACGACTAAACCGACATCACAAGGCATGCTTTCTTGTTTCCGTTTATCAAACTTATGAAAGTGTGAATGAATCAACTAATCAAACGTACAAGTCTTACAGAAAGAGTTTGCGAACAAGAATCAAATTACATGCAAGAGGAATAAATATAAACATTGGGATTAAAATGAAAGTTAAGCAACTTCTTTAATATAATTACATTATGTTATATATTCAATCATGATCTCTTACTCCAATTTTCTTTCTGAATTGTCTGCACCACCTCCGTGCTCGTGGGTTTCACCAAAGTGAAAAAATGAAGTGACAAAACTCTTTCCATACCCAATAGAAATCTCTGCATAAAGCAGAGTCGACAGTACGATGCAAACTATATCATAAGGATATGTTTATGAATCACTATCAAATAGTAATGATACCAGGTGTTCGCGAAAAGGTGAGCGTTTCCTGCCCCACTGGTGGCACCCGTCACAAACACATGCAAAGGCAAGTCAGTTGTTAAGTCCGATATATATCTATATCTACGAGTGAAATCATCATGATAGACATGTGTTACCGTGTAGTGTACTGGTCATGTATGGATTGGAAATCATTGAACATACAAGACATAAATATACTGTAAGTATATTTATTTACAGTTATACATATAAGCGATAACATCCCAAACATCTTTGTTTAGGATGCAAAACATGTCAACTTTGAAGACACAACTGCTTGAAGCAATACTGACAGTATCTGACACCAACACTATCAATGCAAAACTGGCTGAACCAGAATGGATAGCCCTGATTTTGTTTCATCCCGAACTAAGACACTGTTTCTGTTCATTTAGAGTATCATGTAGGTGGGGTCATATACAGCAGGTCCTGCCGGAGCAACATCAGTTGCGGCAATAGTCGTGGGAGCAGCAGCAGAGGGGACAGCAGCAGCATTAGCGTCGAGATCAACATACACTGGACCTGCAGGAGACAAAATACAAAAAACTGACTTTGACACGATACCTAATGCATTTTGTACAAACACATCAACACTGTAGTCATGTTTCTGATCTACTGCTGGTTTCTTTTGTATCAATTGCATAAGTATCGAGATAAAATAAAATGAACTGACTATTAAGCCATGTTTCTTATTTACTGTATGTTCATTTCTGTAAATTTATAAAGGCATCGAGATCGTACCAGAACCAGAATCTGTAGAATAGAAAATAAATAAATAGGGGATGTATTACTTGATAATAAACCTTGAAACACATCAGCAAGGTTGTCCGTGTTCTCATTTACTGTTAGCGGTTCTATCACAATGTAATAATGCACTTACCATTACCATTGGATTGAATGGCACCAGCGCCCTGTAACCCTGGATGGACTAATCCTTGGTTGGGGAGCCCTGAGCCGAGACCAAGAGGGGAAACACCAAGTCCGTAAGGGGAAACACCAGGTCCGTAAGGGGAAATTCCATATCCGAGAGGAGGAATCCCAAGACCGAAGGGGTGCATCCCAAGACCAAAGCCGGGAATTCTAAGGCCGAAGTGGGGAAACCCTAGGCCGAAATGAGGATTGCCGATGCCACCGAAAGGAGGGAAACCAATTCCAAAACCGTGCGTTCTTGTTATGGCAACAAGGCAGACAATGATGACAGCAAGTACCTTCATGGTTTATTTGAATCTGGGAAGTAAGAGAAAATGTACATGTGTTAATTGAAACCGTGAAATACTTAATGACGTCATTTCTATTTTGACGATGATTTACAAAATGTAATGCAAATGAAGGACATACTGTAAACCATTTTAGCTTTCTTCACTGAGAACTAAAACTATATTAACAAAGGCCACTTTATATTCAACTCCATCCTTAATTTTAAACGCATATTTACATGTTATCAAACACGTTTGCATATTCACAAACACACTGACTTTGACAACTCAAAACGTTGAAATATCGCCTTTGTCCGAATAAAATAACAATCACCCAGAAACGTCCCAATCGCTATAATATTTATTTTTATCTTCTTGTAATTTGAATCGAATGTAAAGTAGATTATGAAGCAACCAGTGATCTGAATTATTGTTCTTTTAGGATTGGCTTGGAATAACATGATAATGCTAACATTCCCATCACTGCATATTAAGATGTTTAAGAAAATGCAATAATATGTATTCCGTCATGAACAGAGCGGGTAGAATTATGTAAATAATTATATTCGTGCACATGGATAATCCGTGAGAAGGATCCGGTTCCATATACCACGCAAGTACTTCGTGTGAACACGAAATGAAATTAATATATGCGATGACGACATTAAACTGCACACAAAAATACTTACTTTTCTACGGATCAGAATAGGTTTACCAGGAGAGTGTGAATCGGAAAGTGAAGTCTGCATCAAAACGTCTACCTTATATACTAAGACAGACGGTTATATGCACCGGTCCACTTACGGTCATAAATTGTAAATGTGTCTGCACTATGACGGGGTTGTCAACGTATTATACAACGATGGCCAGTCTATGTTAGCTGTGTGATAGTATTTATTGACAAGGACTCATTGATTGACGGCAACAATGGACAGTAAATTATGTCATTCCTTACAGACGTTTTTTCAAGAAATGTGAGGAATTCATCAGCTCATTACACATATAGGGTGAATACATGTCAAATTGTGGAGAGAGAGAGAGAGAGATAAAGAGAGAGTGAGGGATAGAGAGAGTAATTCATGTTATTTTAAATACAATTTACATTGTATGATGTAGGTTAATTGTAAAATTTCTAATTGTACGTGTATCACAGGAAGACATTCGCTTATTATATACAACAAGATGGGTACATTTTGACGAATATATGTTGCCCTAATGCATTCCAAATCATAGCAAAGAGAACCTTAACTTCGGTAGTGTAACAACAACATAGTTCACGTACTCGCAGTTGTCTTGGCTGCCGTTTGATCCTCTTGTTTTTATTTTTAATTGGTGTGAACTACATTTAAAACGAGCCTGAGCTACTTTAAATTTGGAAACTGTTATAACCTCAACATACAATTCCGAGCAAACGGATTGTTTACAAAAGGTATAACTATTGGTTTCAATACCCGGAAGGAGCCCATCACCCTACAATTTACCGTATATTACCTTCACACGAAATAAAAATACAAGATAATTAATAATATTTGTAAAGTATTATGCTTAAATTGTTGTTCCCATACATAGTCAAATCAGGCAGAAAAAGAATTTTTTTGCTAACTTTTGAAGCCCAATTAATCACATTTCCCATTTTCTGATGTATGAAACATCATATTATAACACCTATTCACATATCTACTTTCAGGCACTCGCAAAATACTGCAGCGATACTTTGAAACACGTTTTCTATGGATAAAATTATAGTTCGATATCGGTCGCATTCTCCTGCGCTAAATGTGCTATTTGAAAATTCACGTTGCGCGTTTGGTTCCAAATTAAATTTAACACGGTTAAATCTACAGTTAACTAAGCTGAACATTGAAAACACAGTTTGTTCATCTTCTAATTTCAAGGCGTTTTAAATAGATTGCAAAGCATGTAATATCCTTGCAAATGATTTGAGGCTTTTGAAAAATCAACATATGCAGCATAAACCTTACCCTCTTCTTAGACAAATGCCGTTGGATAATTACTTGCAAAATAAATATATTATCAACAGCATATGCATTTGACCAGAACACCAGTCTTGTTGAGCACAGACGTATATAAAGTACTGAATACACTTAGCTGCTATTTGACTCCATAATTATTTGGATTTTGTTTATCCCCACTCTTATGAATGATAACTCCTAAGTTCAAAGAGATTTAAAAATGTGCTTTCTCAGATAAATTGTTACACATAAGTTAGTATATGGTACTATTAGATCAGATGAGAACTTGTAGAACTTAGCAATGGAGATGTTTAATTCGTTTTTACTCTACAATATTTCCCTTTCTGCTTAACTGCCAATCTTACCTGTCTAAAGGGGACTGGTCACACATATCCCCATTATCACATTGAGTTTCAATTAACAGGACAGTTGGCAATGAAAGCGGTCGTAAAGTGGTTATACCCATTGGTAACAGAAATGGGTTGGGTAACACTGTATTGGAGTGGGAATAGTTTAAGTGACAACCCATTTAGGTCATTCAATGTTATCAGCTTTACTCAATATGTGCATCATACACTATCCAGATATTATTCTTATTTCTTGGGTCATAATGAAAATACATACCAAGAGTCAAACTGTATGTTTAGTGTTTTTTTCTAAATTTGTATTATGTATACACAAAAACAGAAAGGTGTCTGTGTACATTCTGCATAAAACTCATACAAAAATGAATGTCGAAATGTTACGAAGTGTATTAATGTACCAGTTACTTATTACCGTTACAGATACACTGTTTTGGTTGAGTGAGTGAGTTATTTGGGTTTAACGCCGCTTTTAACAGTATTCCAGTTATATCACGGCGTGTCAGCTTCATGTATGAGGAAAGCCCCAAGTGATGCAGGTCTCAGACGTTTACCACTTCGGTAAAACCCACGAGCACGGGTATGGTGCTGACAAACCTAGAAACATAATGGGGGCGAACCGGGATTCGAACCCACAATCATAGGTTTCTGGCGTGCAAAAGGGCGCAACTCTAGATAGCGAATCGCAAAAACAAGCATTTTTTACGACTAATACATTGTTGGAAGAAAATCAGGTAGCAATGCCAACACGTTTTGAATTGTCTGTGAATCTGTGTACATGTGTGTGTGTGTGTGTGTGTGTGTTTGTGTATACACTCTTCAAAAAAAAGAAACGCACAGGTAGATTTTTAGTAATTGCATTGTCCCTAATAAAGTCGATATTTTTAATTTAATATTCTCATAGATGCAAATATGAAATTTTGGAGCTCGATAGTCACATGTTGTCGTTGTACAAAGGCATTGAAAACTGTTCATTGTCATGTCACATAAGGGCACAAGGTTGCGCTGAACTCAGTATCTCGTTCTCGTAGTCAGCTTCAATGAACTACATACTACCTGTGCGTTTCTTCTTTTTTGAAGAGTGTTTGTACATATGAATTATGACTGTCGTTATTTCGAAATAAGTAGACTAGTGCAAAACATGGAGGTATACGTAGGTGTATAAATCTACAATTTCTAGTGCGGGTAAATACTTAAAATTAAAGCGACTAAAACTTCACCATAATCATAAGACATATCTGCTGAACGCAAAGTTTATTTTACGGTTTTGACCCTTTAATAAGCATGTGTTTATGAGAAACTATTAATTAGTGATGATGCCAGGGGATGGCGAAAAGGTGAAAGTATCCTGCCATTATTGATCTTTATTGAACGATATCAGATCATCGATATACCTGCAGCTTAGATCATACCTCTTGACCAAATGCCCTTGTTAAGATTCTGACAATGCAGTTCATATGCATAAAGAAACAAATCAGCTGAGAGGGGAGCATAATTAGTGCCCATGGGGATGAATATATGTACATCATTCCTGCATATCCTATTTCTAAAGCTCCCAAAGATTTTTATCTTTGAGGAAAAACAGGATTTCACACATTGTTTTATCAGTTAACTTCAGGTGACATTTCTCACAAATTGCCCTAAACCTTGGATAATAGAGTTGTAACTATACATATTGTCATCACATTTAGTGACAAATTCGCCATGGGTGAAAAAATGAAATGTCCCCTTAAGTTTGCTTAAATTATTAATGTAATTAATAATAATTTTCCGAGATTTCAACACATTCAAGGAAATATTTTAAGTTTTTGAGAATGAACGGTGTCTTAATTCCACTTGTCACAAATACTTTCTGTGAATATAAAGGCAATGCTTCCTTGGTTGTATTAAGAACTATGGTTAATCTTTGAGACATGGATTCGGGGAGTACATTTGCTGGATCCAGTAATATATATCTCTGTATACAGATATTTTTGAGCTTTGGAATCCAGTACGAAAGAGAAATTGACAAGTCTGCAGGCCAAAAGTTGATCCCATATATCGGACCGGGTGGAACAATTTTACCTGTCCCGTGCTTTGACATGTCAGCATCACAACTGATTCAATTTTGTTTGTTTGTAACAGCGCACTCAGAAATATTGCAGCTATATGACTTCTCCAAGATAAAGATGGTTGATGATTATCGTGTATTTTAATCTGTATAGCAAGACGGGTTTCTTTCAATGTAGATCATTCAACGGCTACAACTTTTAAGCCCATTTTGCAGTTTGACGCCACATATATGTGCTCTATAGTGTCAGTTTATTTTGCTGTCCCAAACCATTCATCTCCCCCCACAACTACACCTATATTTCATATAACACTGCAAAAAGTGCAATCAGCATTCGTGTATTTTCATTTTGATTACATTGACTGATTCCCTTTATACGGCCATTCTCTCAGTAGATCAGTCAGCAGACGATATAATACACCTAGCATTTCCTATTGTATGACACTTTTATGTAGTTTATGATACATCTTAGCAGTTTTTATTCAACGACTAAACCGACATCACAAGGCATGCTTTCTTGTTTCCGTTTATCAAACTTATGAAAGTGTGAATGAATCAACTAATTAAACGTACAAGTCTTACAGAAAGAGTTTGCGAACAAGAATCAAATTACATGCAAGAGGAATAAATATAAACATTGGGATTAAAATGAAAGTTAAGCAACTTCTTTAATATAATTACATTATGTTATTCAATCATGATCTCTTACTCCAATTTTCTATCTGAATTGTCTGCACCACCTCCGTGCTCGTGGGTTTCACCAAAGTGAAAAAATGAAGTGACAAAACTCTTTCCATACCCAATAGAAATCTCTGCATAAAGCAGAGTCGACAGTACGATGCAAACTATATCATGAGGATATGTTTATGAATCACTATCAAATAGTAATGATACCAGGTGTTCGCGAAAAGGTGAGCGTTTCCTGCCCCACTGGTGGCACCCGTCACAAACACATGCAAAGGCAAGTCAGTTGTTAAGTCCGATATATATCTATATCTCCGAGTGAAATCATCATGATAGACATGTGTTACCGTGTAGTGTACTGGTCATGTATGGATTGGAAATCATTGAACATACAAGACATAAATATACTGTAAGGATATTTATTAACAGTTATACATATAAGCGATAACATCCCAAACATCTTTGTTTAGGATGCAAAACATGTCAACTTTGAAGACACAACTGCTTGAAGCAATACTGACAGTATCTGACACCAACACTATCAATGCAAAACTGGCTGAACCAGAATGGATAGCCCTGATTTTGTTTCATCCCGAACTAAGACACTGTTTCTGTTCATTTAGAGTATCATGTAGGTGGGGTCATATACAGCAGGTCCTGTCGGAGCAACATCAGTTGCGGCAATAGTCGTGGGAGCAGCAGCAGAGGGGGCAGCAGCAGCATTAGCGTCGAGATCA